TCCTGGACAGGGGGAGAAAACAGAACAGTACCTCGGTGATGAAACAAGCTGTGAAATTTGGAAAACTGTAAGCTCAGGTGATGAGCCTGCCGAGTAGGTGAAACAAAGAGCCGTGTGTATGTATGTGTGTGTGTGTGTGACCAGTCCCGCAACTTTGTTCCCGAACCAATTGCATAACGTTTCATAAGCCGCCCATATCGGCTTGTCACAAGACGTCCCACCTTACCCTATGGACGAAGTTCTTCTCGGCCAGGTACACCATCCCGCGGGCTACATCCTGGGCAACAGTCAGAAGTTTCTCGGGTAGCTTCGGATCCATCTCGTCGCCGGCTCTATGGACCAAAAAGAGGGAATTTGAGAAAGAGTTAGAATTGCTCAGTTTCCTTGGAAACAATAATGCAATGATACTGAGAAGAACGACATACTCCAGGATCTTCAACAACATCATCTTGAAAGATTTCACTGTATAATTTAGTTAGTTTAGTTAGAATTGAGTTTCCGTACTAGCCCTCTCTTGAATAGTGCCCTATATCGAATAGTGCCCCAGTCTCTAAGAGCCAGTGAAAAAATAAAGCCGTCTCTAACGACCACCCCTTGGGGCCAGAGAAAGCGGCCTTTAGTGGCAGGTGGTCTTTAGTAGTTAAAGGTTTGCACCTCACAACGATACATGAATGTGAGACCGTCCGTGCTTGGCAAAGTGGTCGGTAGTACCAGGCTAGTCACGATGGTCTTCAGTTACAGGTTTTAGTGTAAGTTCTGCTCATTGTGGTATTAAGTACTGTTTGGACAGAGGAAGCATTTTCCTGGGCATCTACCTTTCATAGGAAGAGTAAGCTATTGGGAAAGAGGAGTAGGGCACAACAGACTGGACCCAAGCGGAGGTGGTGGCCCTTGATCTTGAGAAGCTCGTAAGGCACTAACAACGCACTAGCAATGCGCTCGCAACGTGCTCACGATGCAGGAAAACAAGGTTGGGTTGAAAGGATAAGTATTGCTACACCCATCTGAGATTGATATTTCAACAGTGTATGCTGTGAAGAAGATGGCTTCTGGCCTTGCAAGGCGGATGGCGTAATGCTCCTAGCTCAGCCTGGCTTGCATAGTGCACTACTTACACGGGACGTAGTCTGGACAAGTGGTTAAGTAATGATCCTCCGCTCAGTAACTCGGTTACCAGTGATATCTAGTGGAATACATGAACAAGTACACACACACACATAAACATACATACATATATACACACACGCGCGCGCGCGCGCGCGAGCACGAGCGCACACACACGCATTCACAGTAACACCAATATCATAGAAAGTGGTACATTCCTCGTCTCCAGTGATAATGCCTAACTTAATCAAGCCACAACAAATTATTGACTCAGATAAATAAGATGGAGGTCCTTTGAGCTCGCCCTCCTGTTCATTACACTGCCAATGAATTGACTGACACATTATGATGAGTTTTGAAGTACAGTCAACCTTGCAAATCACGACCATCAATCGTGCAGGAGAAAAGTGTTGTTCTTCCTGAGTCGTTATTGTTTGCGACAGGACCGCCGGAAGCAGTTTTCGACTGGTCCGGTAGTATCGTGGCCTTCCATACTTGGCGTATCCATATGGTGGTGGGTACACATGCCCTCCACAGTAGGAAACACGTGTTTGTGGCCAAGAGGTCGGTCCGGAAATAATCTGACCGGTTCTGACGGGCCTGTGCAAGGGTAATAGCAAGAGTACATAACCCCCAAGAGTGTGCAACTCCAGCCATGGGGTCTGCGACGGCAGAGCTTCACATCACGTGATGAACCCGTACACATTATTTGCACTCTGTGCATGATTGATACAGGGTTGTACGCAACCCAGCTTTGGGCACAACTCTCTTGTGATCACTTGGCACTGTTTGCCAGTGTAACCTTTTGAACCATGTCACGTGATGTGAAGTTCTGCCGTCGCAGCACTGCACAGAGGTTGTGCAGACAGTTGTACACTCTTGGGGGTTATGTACTCTTGCTACTATAGTATGCAGTCAAGTGGTTACTTGGTCTTAAGAGACATGTAGTGTTCCTCTATGCAAGGTTGTTACTCGCCAGGTTGACCGTATCTTCAGGCAGAAGCCAGATCGCAGTCCAGTAAGTTCCAGTACGTTCCCGTATGTTCCAGTATGTTCCGGTATGTTCCAGTATGTTCCCGTATGTTCCAGTATGTTCCGGTATGTTCCGGTATGTTCCGGTATGTTCCAGTATGTTCCCGTATGTTCCAGTATGTTCCAGTATGTTCCGGTATGTTCCAGTATGTTCCCGTATGTTCCCGTATGTTCCCGTATGTTCCAGTATGTTCCGGTATGTTCCGGTATGTTCCAGTATGTTCCAGTGTGTTCCAGTATGTTCCAGTGTGTTCCAGTATGTTCCGGTATGTTCCAGTATGTTCCAGTATGTTCCAGTGTGTTCCAGTATGTTCCGGTATGTTCCAGAATGTTCCAGCATGTTCCGGTATGTTCCAGTATGTTCCAGAATGTTCCAGTATGTTCCAGTATGTCCCAATATGTTCCAGTATGTCCTCTACCCACATCACAACAAGAAATAACCACATGGCATTGCTGTGTAACATACATTGCGATCATAGACGACCACTCCGTAGAGTGTCAAGACGTTCTGATGGTGAAAGCCGCCCAGAGTCAGTCCTTCGGCGAGCAGTTTCTTTTCACCCAGAGCACTGTTGGAGCTGTCCTCCTTCAGCGTCTTTAAAGCCACGGTCACTTCTCCATGTGTGCTCTGCAATGCGAGGAGAAATAAATACGGTATTGATTAATGGACTCGAATGGAGAGCCAAGGATAAATTTTTAGAAAAGAAAAGGACCAAGAAACTACAAGTGACGCTATCATGTCCACTGACACCACCAGTTACTAAACAATCAGCTCATGCGATAACATTGCACGACACTGACCGACGGTACTGACGTTCTACAACTAACTGGCTAACAGCTCTCGCACATCTTGGATGCGCACTCCAACAGCCTTCCAACTTGCCAGTTAGTTGTAGAACGTCAGTACCGTCGGTCAGTGTCGTGCAATGTTATCGCATGAGCGGATTGTTTAGTAACTGGTGGTGTTCGTGGATATTATAGCGTAACTTGTAGTTTCTTGGTCCTTTTTTCTTCGGTATTGACTAAGTAAACCGTGCATTTGGCTCTGTATAGATATTTCATCGACCACCACACCATAACTGCGATCTCCAGTCGCTTTGCTGGTGGTGCGCTGTGGCAATGTGTCGAAGTCGGCTGGAGAGCGCAGTCATGGTGTGCTGGTTGATGAAAAGCCATACATGTCACTCATTTCCCTTTCCTTTCTCCCTCATCTTCTGTTCCACTGGAGAGCCCTCCCTCCCCCCCCCCCCCCCCCACCCCCACCCCCCTGACAGGCTCCCACAGCCTTTGGTCAATCCGTAAATTGAACAATCAATCAATCAATCAATCAAGATTTTCCAACCCGTAGATGAACTTCCAAAAGAACAGGTCAATGTCAGCAAAGAATCGTGCACTTGATTCCATTACAATTTTTATTCGTGGACGTCACATTGTTACCACAGCCATGGAACAGTTATCGAATTTACGTTTGCCAGGCAGCAAACTGCAAACTTGATTGAACTGTTTACTTAATAGAAATATGGTGCATATCAATATTTGTAGCCCCCCCCCCCCCCTACTCAGTAATTACGGCTAAGTTAAGGATCACAGCACGGTAGTTGCAGTGGCCACTCACCGACTGCCAGACTCCACGGAACACGGATCCAAATTCACTGAACACAAAGGGAGGAATCAAACAAAGAACTTGATTGAAATCAGTTTCCCTGCCCCGTAACTCAAAGCTGTTCTGATAGACAGGTATGAATGCGTGATGTTGTGCTGGCACAGTTCATATGCACTCACCGTGCAACAGGGAGTCGGAGCACCTAGAGAGAATACACGAGACACTAGCATCGGAAGTGATGTGCTTTTCAACTTCTGACTTGGAGGGTCTACGTGATCTTCTATGAAAAATGTGTTCACATCCATGATTGTGACCCCATCCTGACCCCCCACCCCTCCACCAAGACTGACTACACTAGCCTACACAAACTGGCCCTGCCCCAGGGACACCTGGAAAGGGAGTGCACCTCGAGAGTGAGACCAACATCGCTTCACATACTATTTTGCCTGTGTCGTTTCTCTAGATGCTACAACACACTGGTAGTGCATGAATTGTTGGGGCTAATGCTCAGTCAACATCATGCATGGTGAGATTGGTGACCATGTCGTACTATCATAATGAAAAGGAAGTGGTCCTTTCACCAGTAGCGGTGAGACTTCCTAGTACCCCCTTAACCCACCATAACAAAAATTACACCATGGCCAGCAATCAAGGACATCTGAGAGTTGTAATTTTTGTACTCCTCCGAGGTGTGATTTTTGGCGTGCTGGGCCAAGCACAAGGAAGCCATCTGCAAAAAAACTGCAGAAAATGGTTGTTGTTTGATCCTTTGGTGTGATCTTTGTTTCTAGTCGAAGCTAGTTGCTGTTTGGAGCAGAAACGCTGAAATTGACTATTTTCTGCATGTACTCATACATGTACTCATGTACTCAGGCATGCAGTCTCACTCGTATTTTAGCTATTTTTCTGGAATGGATGCTGCTCTGCGCCCCTTGGTGAACATTTCCTGCGCTCGTGGAGCAGCTGAAAAGGACCACTGGTATGTCTGGTTCCTGGTTTGAAAGTGGAGAGTCGACTTTTGTGCCTTGAAAAAGGAGTAGAGAGCGATAAAGGTACGTCTGTGGCTGATTTTTGAGTGCTCCTCGTACATTTTTGATCGTGATAGAAATTCTCAGACCAAAGTCAGACCAAAGTCAGCGCGATGATGGTCGTACAGTTTTCTTGTGAATTTTTTAGTTGTTTCATCTCGTATCTATGTCAGTATCGTGATGGTGAAGTGGAGAGGGTGATTTTCTTCCTCTAGGCTTCGTTCGGCCGACTTTGCTTCGTCCTCGTTGAAAAGTGATCCTGAAAAAAAGGTCGATTCGCAAAATTATGTTGATTTTCAATGTACGAGATGACATGCGATTGCTGGCTATGTAATTCCCAGACCTCTCCGGGGGAGATCCCCAGATGATCACCTTACCCATGGCCGATTTCTTCCAGGGTGCTGACTCGCTTCGGCGCAATGTATCGGAAACAGTTGCGAGCCGACGCGTAGTAGAGCTCGTCGTGGTCCGCGTCGCAGCCACTCACCTCCTCCTCCTCCATCACTATCTGCTTGGTGCGCGGCAGCATGCTCTGCTTCACAATGTTCCAGTTGCCGGACATCCGTGGCTGCAGTGGAGGTGCCTCTTCGTCATTCTGTATGATTTCATCGTCTAAGAGTGCACGGAAAAGGAGAGCAAAACAAAAGGAGAATCAGCAAAGTTAAAATCGATAATCCATTCTCGAGAAGTGCAAGGTATGGTACAGCTGAAAATGCGAGTCTCAGGGGTCCTTTGCTCCCGCAAATCCAAAATACTGGAAGGTGATGCATGTGTCCCATTAGAGAGGGAAAAGTTGTTGGCACTGGCGGACAGGTTGTTACAAGGCGACATAATCACCGAGCTTCAGACTGCTGGGTGCTGCTGACCATTATCAACTATCGATTTCAGAATCAAAGCCAATGACCCCACAACCCGGAGTCTGCACTCCGAGAAACCTATCAGTTCCGGTTCGCACAATTACAGGTGCGAATCAGGTTGATTTGGTGATTGTTTCAGATGCAAACAAAGCAACATTGTAATACGATAATCTTTAAGCTACTCAGTTTCCGGACAGCTAGCTGCTTTGAACTTGTTAGGTCTCATCAGCGGAGAATCTTCAAGTCAGATGACCGATCACTGCTGTCTCAACGTACCTGGGAAGCTGTACCCTCCGTCGGGCAAATCGCTCAGCGCCTGTCCGGGTACAAACACAAGCCCCATGTCCATGGCCTTATCCTCAAACTCGTCCTCCATCGGCTCGATCGGCTCGGGCTCGTCTTGACCTGGCGGTGCCGGTCTGGTGTCAATACCGGCCGGTAGGAATATATCTGGAGGGGAGGTAAAGCAGAGAAGCAGCAGGTGAGATGTCGGCGTGTATTCAAATCCAGCCTTAAAAACGTACTAGTAGTTGGCAAATTGAACTGCATCGCTCACATACAAGTGCATTGCCTAGTGCCAAATATGTAATGTATGGGCAATGCATGTGAGTAGGCTGGCATCTTTCGACGCGTTTGCTGTGCAGTGAAGCCGAGACCCTAGGTCGGTGGAGCACATCAGACCCCGTCACCACGTCCACGATTTATGCCTGCGATGCTGCACCGCTGCTTTGCATGTCATGATTGGAAGCTGTGGCCTTAGTAAAAAAAATCTCGAATGCACTGTGCAACACCATACAGTAGGCTACGCAGCAATACCCAAGTGCTTGTGTAGGGTGTCGGGGACACAGACTACGGCATTGAACAAAAGCTATAGTACAGCCATTACTCTTGCTTTATATTAAATTTTGAATAGGGGAGTCCCACAGGTCTAGGGCTGTTTCCGGCGTACCCTAGCATGATCATTAAAGATAGTGATCTTACTAACGGTACCACAGTTCCTACCCGCAGTGAACCAAGGGCCTTAGACGACGTCCAGTGAGCTAGTGACATGTAGACAGCTTTTCCAACCCCATACCTGCTTTACCTACAGCACATCTGGATGGCTATGATCTGAACCGGACGCCGGGTCAGAAATTCAAAATATCCAACTCTGCGGGCTCACTGATTTGTAGCAACATTGTACGGCATGTGGTGCAAGGATGGCAGTGGCAATCCGCACTTGTTCTACCGGAAGAGCTCCTCGCTTACCGTCTCGTCGCAGGCGCTCCAGCTGCCCTGAAGAAAACTGCTCCAGAGCGTCATTTGCAGCGAGCGGTGTTAGAGACGACCTGGCCTTCATGTTGTAACCCCGCGGCATGCCTGTTGCAGAAGAACACAGAACCGGAATATAATGTGAAAACAACAACATTCTAAAAGGGCCAGAAACATGATTTCGAGCAAGAACACTACAGGAAAGTTGACGTTTTGATTTCAATGCACCTATGAAGCACATGTGATGAAAATCTAACCTACAAACGTTTTCTTTTGTCCATTCTTTTGGATACCATGTCATGACTCTCTCCCAAAGCATATTTCTGCTGTTCCTGGTTCCTGTTGATGTTCGCATAGCTATAATTATAAGGAATTCAGTTGGAGGTATTCCGTCAGACGACATGTGCTTTGTGAGTACAGCATTGAGCTGAAATGTGCATGGGGTTGTTTCCCATGTGTGTGTGTGTGTGTGTGTGTGTGTGTGTGTGTGTGTGTGTGTGTGTGTGTGTGTGTGTGTGTGTGTGTGTGTGTGTGTGTGTGTGTGTGTGTGTGTGTGTGTGTGTGTGTGTGTGTGTGTGTGTGTGTGTTTGCCCATCTGCGCGTGTGTCTGCGTATCAGTATCTGTGTACATACAACCTGACTTCACATGAAGTATGACGGCGTGTGAACGTAGAACCCATACCTGCTCGATGGCTTTGAGGCCTGGTCATTGGTCGTGCGGTTTCTTCATCGTTGCTCGAGCAGCAGCCTCCGCAGACCTCCTTGCAGTAGCCACAGTAGATAATCAGGATGACTGTTGCTATGGCAAAGAGCAACACTACGACGCCGATAGCTAGCACAATGTAATCCGTCAAGCCCAGGGACACCATCTTGATGCCAATGCGGCGCTGGGATTGCACAGGTGTTCGTGTGCCTACTGGTGGAGCCTGTCCAGGATGGATAAAAAGTAGGAACAGAGATTGTGTATCTTAGGTTGCACAGAACTTTAACATACCAGGAGTTGTGCTGTACGTCACACAACTGTGCGTATTGAAGATCCACGTAGATATGTTATAATGTGTGTGTGTGCGTGCGTGTGTGTGTGTGTGTGTGTGTGTGTGTGTCTGTGTGCATGTGTGCTTATGTGTGTGTGTGTGTGTGCGTGTGTGTTTATGTGTGTGTGTGTGTGTGTGTGCGTGTGTCCGGCCAGTGAGGCTACTTCGATCAGCTGTGTGGTGGATACCAGGCTAAAATTAGTGGTGGTCAATTCATCAGCCTTGCAAGCTGTTGAATGGTGTAAGTAATTTAGTTAATCCAAGCACAAGTTACTATGTCTAACATAGCTGTTCGCTATCATCGAGGCTTTCCCTGCCTTCGTCAGTGCGTGTTTATGTGTGTGTCACTGTGTGTGTGTGTGTGTGTGTGTGTGTGTGTGTGTGTGTGTGTGTGTGTGTGTGTGTGTGTCTGCCTGTGTGGTGATGGTGTGTGTGTGTGTGTGTGTGTGTCTGCCTGTGTGGTGATGGTGTGTGTGTGTGTGTGTGTGTGCGTGCGCGTGTGTGTGTGTGTGTGTGTGTGTGTGTGTGTGTGCGCGTGTGTCTGCCTGTGTGGTGATGGTGTGTGTGTGTGGGGGGGGGGGGGGGGAGGGCTCAGCCAATTTGTATTGATGAGTTATATAGCGGGTGGTCAAATCACTTTTGGTGAAAGAGCAAATTGACTGCGTACAAACAACGAGAATCTCTCACTTTATTTTAAAGACAGTTCAGATCACCAATGCGTCCGCAGTAAAAAAACAGATTAGGGGGTTGGCCTGGCACAAGTGGCTCATTGGATGATCACAAGCCCGTATTCATGGTATTGCACAGTATAACATGTTGCCTGACAGCACATTGTATTGTGGATAGGTTGCACCCCTATTCTCCCACCGTGTACTGGGCATCGCTATTGCCTGTCTCACTCGGCCCACGCAGACATCAATCAATCAACATTGCGGTGCATGCTCAAATTAATTCCCATATGGAATCACTCGCCTAACCTTGTTCCTTTCCACGAAACTCCACACCGGATGCGTCGTGCTAACCCACACCACACGCACAACAAGCGCTGGCTAGCGACTACCTTTGAATGACCAAATAGCGTCCACGTCTCTCTCTCTTCTCGCTCGCCCATTCGGAATCCTTGCAGTTGCACTGCTCTGAACCACTAACTTACTAAGTACTAACTAACCGAGGAGTGAGCGTTCCCAGGTGTGTGTTTTTGACGGATTGGAATTTTGCAACGAGTTTACGCTTTACCGTGGAATCGCGGGCAGTTCATGACGCCTTCGGCTTCGGTGAAGCCAAGGCAGGCACAAAATGCCCGTGCAGTGCGCCAGGTGTGCACCATGTACTAGGCCCATTCAGGGTCATGGAGTTGTGAAACCCGTAGATTCGCGCCCTGCTGTGCGTCTACGGTGTAGTCTATGGTCGCATCCCAACGCCAATGATACTGATGTAGTGATACCTAAGTCCTTGGATACTGATAGGAGGTGGTCCATCCACATATCCATGGTAGACTCAACCACTCTGCTTGCTGGCTCCGTGCTGTGGATCTGTGTCACCTGAGCATACCACTCAGGATGCCAACGGCTGAGGCCACGCCGCGCACGCCGGTGAGTGCTTACCTGCTTGTGCGGTGCCATAGGCTTGACTCTGCGCTGGCAGTTCATATCGCTCGCAAACTGACACGGACAGTTCGGGCACTGTTGCAGTGCGCTCAGCCTTTTCACGGTCTACTCGCCGATATGGCGAGGCGATGGAGCGCGCAATTCTTCGATCCGTCCTTGAGGCATGGACCAGGTTCAGTAAGGAATGCCGATTCGTGTGCATCTGATATCTCCTGAAGTCTATATAAATACTTTTTATCTGATTCTGTGGCCACCAACTAGGTAATTGCGCAAACGATTTTTGAGTAAGCTAGCTGCCTTGACTTTGGCAACATGTGACGGTTTAGAGCTCCAGCCAAATATATACATACCGGTCCCGATCGCCGAGAACAATTGGTCGGTTTGGGAAAGTGGTCGGAGACTGAGGCTCCGCTGTATTTAGCGAGTTAGCTTGGGAGGTCCCACTGTGTGTGTAGATCTACAAGACATGTAAATACATGAAAGCTTGTAAAGTGAACTCATTGTGTTCTTGTGCTGATGTGCACGTCCTTACAGACACTGACAAAGGTAGGGAAAGCCTCGCAACGACTTGTGCTCACCACACAGTTGACTGCAGCGCTGGGTTAGGGCGATAACGTGATGGGTGATATTCTATATACAAGGTCTCAAAATATCAAATGCATCAAAAGTTACAACACGTATTTAAAAAAAGAAAAGAGTAAGAACTATAATGACAGCTACACCGCAGCTCAGTGGTTAGAGCATCGCTGGCCTCCAGTGAAAGTCCCTGGTTCGAGTCCTGGTGATGACGGTCAACTTTTCTTCAGACGTTTCTCGTTTGCATTATTCCTCAAACCAATGATACGCTATGACTGCTACGAGTTCTGATAAACTGTTCACCAAAGGCATCACTTCATTATACAGTCAGAAAGTGAAACAACAGCCTGAACAGGGCACAACAACCAACAGGGAGTAAGTACATGACATTGTCGGTAATGCCACCCGTCTGAATGGCAAGGCCTAGGATAGTCTCGTGATTATTGTTGTTGGTGTCTAGTCGTTGACAGGTCAGACGGAGTACAGTGCACCAACAACGCCAACATACATTGTATATGTAGCATGCACTTGCGGGTAGCCACTAACTGAAGTAGCGAAGGATGCAGACTGTTTAGCCCTTTGGCTTTGCGGATAATGCTTCAACAATTGGCACATTCTGCTCGAAAAGCATTAAAAAAAAAAAAAAAAAAATTATTTTATTTTATACGAAAGTCCACTATATTCCCGAATATGTGCGAGAAGTGGTGGCGGGGCCAGGCTGCTCTGCCGACCTCAAAGGTCTCGGCGTCTACGCAGACAAAGCGCGCCATAATGCAGTAAAACCATGAAGAGGGGAGGAAGAGGGGAAATGAATAATAGTGTGAAACAAGGACAATGGGCAGATGGTCGTGAGAGAAGCAGAGTGAAAGATAACGTCACATTGTGGTAAGGGGGGGGGGAGGATGCTAGTGAGGCACTGGTCTAAACCGTTCCATAGGGCGTCGGTGGCTGCTTGCCAGTTCAGGTGCAGCAGATACTTGTTGCATTTTTCCTTGAATGATTGGAGCTGTCTGGGTTGCGGCCGTGCTTGACATTTGCAGAACAATACAGAGCCTATGGCAGGCAATTTCCTGCATTGAAAAATGTAGTGAATAATTCCCCATTTTTGATGGACTTTGAAAATAATATTACCCAGGAGCACTGATCGCGCAAGTACAGTACCCCTCTCCCACTCCCCGTTAGCCTAGGGTCTTTGTGGTCCACTTTCACAACAATAACACCCACAGAGTAGTCTCCGCGGTGAGCACGGTGGCTCGGCAATGGCGACGTACCCCTGGCCCTCTTACCGATAGCCGAAGGCCTTTTCAGCACCGGCATTCTTGAAAGTTGACAACGATAATTATTTAGCAGTCAAGCACGTGACTGTAACGCATACAACACCACGTGACCGTAGACAGATACAACAAGCATTTGGCTTAGATAACTTACATAATTATTATTATAACAATTATGCCGTTGTCGCATTCTTGACGTACTGCACAGACAATACGGAGGATTAGCAAGACGAAATTCGCGTTCGCGTTCGCTCTCCAAGGGAAGTCGAACTCAGTGACGGAATTCGCGTTATGAGAAGGATTAGCAAACAGACTTCGCACATGCATGACGTTGACACGTCGTCAGAGTCTGCAGACAGTATAGCGTAGTAAATTTATGACTGTCCTTACACGAATCCGCGATTCGTGTTCCGACTACTTTTCCGAACGAAAAATGCGAAAGTTCGCAATCCAGTTCGCTAACTGAAAAATGTTTGCGAACGCGAACGCGAATTTCGTCTTGCTAATCCTCCGTAATGAGCCTTGTGGTGTCGCATAGACTCGCCGAGCGCTCACGTGGACTTATGATCTTGATTGACGTGTCATGGTCTATGATAGTGTCTGTGGTGCTGAAAAATGATTGGCAGATTCACTCATTCTCTGTCAGTGTAAATACAGTACAGAGTAATAACAGCTTATAGGCTCAACCTTCCGCAGTATCTTAGCAAACGTGATAAGCGTGCAAAGGTCTCTCTCTCCGTCTCTCTCTCTCTCTCTCTCTCTCTCTCTCTCTCTCTCTCTCTCTCCCTCCCTCCCTCTCTCTCTCCCTCTCTCTCTCTCTCTCTCTCTCTCTCTCTCTCTCTCTCTCTCTCTCTCTCTCTCTCTCTCTCTCTCTCTCCCTCTCCCTCTCTCCCTCTCCCTCTCCCTCTCTCTTTTTCTTTCTCTCTCTCTGTCTCTGTCTCTGTCTCTCTCTCTCTCTCTTTCTCTCTTTCTCTCCTTCTCTATTTCTCTCCGTCTCTCTGTCTGTCTTCTAATTACGGTCTCTGTTGGAATGTGCACTTCTGATCTCAATTCAGCATAAAGCAAGGTTCGTCATTCGCAAAGGCTCAGTGTAAATGGGGTTTATCCTCTCGATAATTGTTTTATTTTATTTTTTATTGGGAACACAGCCCTACAAAGAGACATGTGGAGACAAACACAAGACAAGACACAGGGGATGTAGGGACGACGTGCCGATGTGCAGGGAGCAACTCGACCGACCAGGGGTCTCGGCGTTAGCGTTGCAACCTGGCATCGAAAAAAGGGGGTTTTTCAACAGGTACTTAACATTGTGAGGTATAACAATATCTAGCACTATCAATGTATGCTCCTACTCGACTTCCTGTACCTCCACATCTTGGCACGTATTCAGCCATGCACCAGTACACTGCCTGGGCTCAGCATGATCAGCCAACGTTCACATGGGTTGTGGGTAGAACTGGAGCACTCGTTCGATTGAATTAAAACGGTTAAGTACATGTACATGGAAGTAGATCAGTAGTGATTATTGAGATGAGTCAAAATGTATCACAGATAACTGCTATGTTTAAAATTCTGTTACTTCAAAATTAAAATAAGGGTGGGTATAAACTATGTTCCCATAATCAGGGTTGGAGGTGAAGTATAAAATTGTCGTTGAATTTGGATGGAAATTTGAGTTATAATCGTAAAAAAACTATTGGAATGAAGCTAAAGTGCTTGATGTGTGATGCATATAAAAATAAGACCTGCAACGATCGACAGTTGTTTACACGAAGTTTCCGTAGAACTTCTTGGCCAGCTCAGCGGCGTACGCAGCAATGTTGTTCAAGTCGATAGTGGTCGACAATGTCTGTGCCTGACCGGCGGCGACAACATCAAGTGACACTTGCATGCGTCCACCATTCACCGTATCCACGAGGACGTCAAAGCCAATGTGGTTGATGCGGAAAGCACTTAGTAGTCCAGAAATGGCGCTGTTGACGGCATTGAAGCTTGCCTGGAATCCATCACGAACACCAGCCGCTGTTCTGGAGAGAAGACGAGCATTGGCCACAGCTTGCGTGGCTACACGAGTTGCTTCAGCGGCAGCATTGAAGGTTGCCTGTGCACCGGACAGGGTAGTTTGGGCTGCTACGCGTGCTGCGAAGGCTGAACTACGAATACCTTCACACACTCCGTTAGCAGTCACACAGGCTGGGTCGACATATGGGACACAGTGGGTACCACAGAATGTGGGATAGGGTACACAGGCTGTCTTACAACATGGCTTACAACTCCAGCCAGAGCAACATACTGATGGAATGCTGCAGCTACAGTGTTGCTTGGTGCATGGCTTGGGTACATTCTGGCAACCATTGCAGTCACGGATGCTACAGAGGCCTCTGATGGTGTCCTCAGCACTACGGAGTGCATTATTTGCAGAGTCAAAAGCTCGTTTAGCGTTACCTTCGGCCACTTTCTTCAGGTCAAGGTTGCCCACTGCAGCTGCCACAGCACGGTCAGCCTTCTCGAATTCCGCCACGGCCGCATCTAGCTGTGCTTTGGTAGCACGGCTAGCCGCTTCCAACTGGTCCTTGACGCCATCCACAAGCTGGGCACCCAACGTGCTGAAGCTACCGGCAACACGGAATTGCTCGAAAGAATCAGGTTGTCTCAGATTTCGGAACTGAGCCTTGAGCAGGAATGATGCAGGGAATCCATAGATGGGGCCGTTAGCCTCTACATTCAAGCCATTGTTATCGATCTTGGCGAGAACTGATGCAGTGTACTGCAAGGCGGGAATGGAGATCTTACCATCCATGCTCATGTAGAATGTTGGCGGCAGGACCTTGGCGACCATCTCGAACTTTGGTCCCTTACTACTATCGCTGGCAGCTGTCATGCTGAGTGGCCCAAGTGTGATTGGGTTGACTGCCACCAGGGCGTTGACTGATTTTGGAACGCCGAACAATAGTTCCACCGTGACGTCCACTTGGACATTGACCAGGAAGAGGACATTGAAAATACCCTTCATGGTGAGTCCAGCCTTGATTGTCTTGCCACCGGGGATGATTCCTGACGGGATGTTACGATCAATGGAAGAGTACGATGCCTCCACATTACGCATGTTCACTGCATCAAGAAGTACCAGAGCAGGATTGTCAGGGACACCGACGGCCGTCAAGATCTTACGGTAGCTCAGCTGGTTGACAGCGAAGTAGAAATAGCTATTCTTGACGTCAACAGCATCCACATTGAAAATGGATTGGGCAATAACGCAGTTTGCTGCGTTTCCTCTGTAGCAGCGCTGGCCGAGAGCTACTTCGCCGCCAAACCTGAGCTGAGAGACACAGACGGGACACGCAATGTTCGTCCTGAATCCAAGGTCGACGTTACCGAACGAGAACACTGGGATGCCGAATGCATTCTCATAGATACCAATCATAGCGAGTGATGCCTCGACGTTGGTTGTCGGGTCGATCAACATGCTGCCCTTGAATTTCAGTGGTTCTTGTCCTTCAGATGGGAACGGTACAGGTACGTCCAGTTCAATGTTGGTCAGTCCAACTGTGGGTGGTCTTGTGGCGCTGAGAGAGAAGCCGAAGTCGACATTGTACAGCTTCAGTGGTCCCAGCACAAGTTGAGTCGGCAGGCGGTAGGACACTGTGGCTTGGGGTCCGTTTATTCCCGTCACACGGAAGATGATACTCTGGGACCCCAGCATGAGCTGGCAGAAGTTGCAGATGGGATCACCGCTGCAGTCATCTGGCATGCGGAAGGCCACAGTAAATCCGAGACCACGATCAATGCTTGTTGTCTCATTGAGAGGATATGAAGACACTGGGAAGGGAATGCGCGGGACATTGGTTGCGCTGAGCGTCACACCGATGTTCGACGGGCCGTTGAGAAGTCCCAGGAAGGGTATGCCGCTCAAATCCAAGCCAGTCAGAGTCTCTATCATTTTGGCCATGCTGAATTCTCGAGCGTTGAGTGTCAGGATGAACTGTCGCGGTGCCGTATTTGCCAAAGCTTCGGCAGTAAATAAGCCAAATCCAGAGATGGTTGGAGTGCCCTTGATGCGGAAGGCCAAAGATCCGGACTGTTTGTTGACTGCGAAGACTGGATTACGGATAGCCGAGGACTGCAGTTGTAGCGCGGCCACGGCTGGGTTTGTCAAATCGTTGCTGGCTGAGCCTAGCAAGTCGAAAAGCTTGGCGAATTTGATCTCCCCGGACGGCGACGTTATGCGAATGCCAAATGCCTTCTTCGTCTGCTGATACGCAATCTGGATGCGGAGGTCCATGCCGAATAGGATGACGTCACCGTTGATTTCAAGTGTGATCTGGGCTCTGTTGTTGGCAGTGCGGACTCCACGTGGCGTCTTAGTGAGTGTGGCCTTGACGGTGGACGTGGAGATTTCCAGCAGGTTTGGAATGAGAGTGAATGAGTCGAGTGCCGCTTCAACGGACATCTTGCCAATGCTGTTGTCATAGGCGATGCGATTGATTCGGAGACCGAACACTCCAGGAACAACATTCGGCAGCGCACTGTAGATGTCGTAGGATGCAATGTCAGGAATGAGCATGGCCAGGGCCTCTTCAAGCGATGGCAGTTCAGCGAGATCCAGGTCAAAGCTGCCAGGGCGCAGGCTCATCTTGAAGTTCTTCAATGATCCACCAATGCTCTGCAGGTAGTTGAGAGAGACGCCTTGCGTTATTCTGGCACCAGTCACCAGCGGATTGTAGAAGTTGAAGCCGCTCGGTAGGGATGCAATGTTTTTGCTGGAAATGGTGATACTGGATGCAGGAATTGCGAGGTCTCCCAGAACTGGAAGACCATCAATATCCAGTCCACTAACCTTCTTGACTAGCGTTGCCAACTTGATTCTGTTGATACTGAAGACAGCTACGGTACGCTTCTGCGTTGTGCCCAAACCCGAGATCAAGATCTCGATACCAGCTTGGAGACCAGCAACATCGGCCGTACTTGTCATGACAACGTTACTGGTCCGTTTTCCGTTACTGGCCGTTGTCGTATTGACGTTGAGCGAGGTTTGAGTCAGTCCAAACGAGTCGAATCCGTTCTGGGTGAGAACAGCAGTTAGCGCATCACCATCTGGAATAATTGTAGATCCGAATGCGGTGAGAACATCAGCAACACCCATACGCTGAGGGATGGAAGTGGCCATTTCGATCATGTTGCCTTTCTTTGTGATCATAGCCTCTGCTTGGACGGTACCCAGGGTGATTGAACCAGCCACATTGAAGTTTAAATCAGTTGCTCCTCGCTTCTTCATCATGCACAGGTTGAAGGCGATGCTATCCATGGAGAGATAGCTGGGCACGATGTCGAACGTCTGTCCCTCCAGTCGGGCCTGCACGCACATGGACTTCTTAGCCACATCCACTCTCAGACGCTGAATGTAGACATTTTCAAGACCAGGTAGGCCGTCTGGCACTTGCAAGTCGCTCATGGGTACGGCAGGAGCCGCCAGCTGAAGCATATCCAGGAGGCTAGTGTCAGCATCCGGAGCCTGTAGAGGAACATAAAAAAAGCAAGAACAGCTTTGAGTGGGTTGCCCTCAAAACTCATAAGGCGTTTTTTTAATATTTACACTGTCAATTGTTATGTATTACGTTTATGTAGCAGGTAATACAATATTCATGGTGAAATTTGCTGCTCATTTCTCTTTCTTCGGTAGTGTGCGGTATATGCAAGTTTTAAGAAAGGTAAAGCACACCAACGCAATACTGCACATCGCCTCACCTTGAAGTCAAAGCTGATGCCCTTGAAGGCGGCGATAAAGTTCTTCTTTCCAACACGAGGGAAGTTGACGGGGAAGAGCAGGGAAATCTTCGTGGTGGTGACCTTACTTGCCAGAGATTTGATATCAGTGTCGTCGAATGGCATGTTGACAGCTGACAGAGCTCCTGTGCTACGGACCAGAACAGCTGTAGCTGGAACCGTTAGATCCCCGACCAATGGTACGTCGCTGATATCAATTGAGGGCAGGACGGAGCCTACGACCTTAGCGAATGTTGTTGAGGTGGTACGAATGCCCAAGGCAAGATAAGAACCAGCCTGGAATGGCTTGTGGACAACCATTTCAAATGAAACCGATGGCAAATCTCTGTAGGAGACTGTTGCTGCCATGCGCATGGTGAGATCTGGTGTCTTGAAGATTTCGATCTTCAGATTGGAGAGTGTGACGTCTGACAGTTGAATTGCATCCAGCGCCTGTTGAAGCTCTGCACCAGCAGATCCGAATGACTTTGCAACATCTCCAGTTGTGATCTCGTCCCGAGTTGGTGTGGCTGTGAACATGAAGGCTCCAGATCTCTCACGAGTGAAGGCGACTTGAAGAGGGAATGTAGCGAGCGTGGTGGTAGATTCGGCTGAGAAATCAAACTGTACTGGCTTTCTGCTTGCATCAATGACCACTCTAACGTTGGTATTCGTCAGTGATAGATATCCTGGCTTGCTGGGAATCAGTTCAATGGTATTAGGCCAGCTGACGTCAGCGGTGAATGTCTTATTGGTCCTGTTGTAGCACAACTCACTCACGCTGATGTCCAGCAAGTCCTCAAAGGCCTCTGGAAGATTCAAACTTTGGATATCCAATGAGGAGAAGAGGGACTGAACGATAGCGTTGAGGCTGGCAGGAGACTGATCGACGTTATCCTTCATATTCAAACACAATGGGCCAACGCCGAGTCCGCCACCGATGGAGAGAGGATTTCCAATACTAGGTGAAAATACGGCATTGAAATTGACACCGGGCAACTGAAAGCGAGGTAGGTTGACTCCGCGTAGGGGCGATCGAACCTTGGGTAGCTTAGCTGAGAAATCTGGAAGAGTGGGAAGAGCAGGAAGACCTATGCGTGGCTTGCGAATGCTCAAACCGAAGCCTGGAAGTTGGAGATCGCCGAATCCAGGAATGCTGGTGAGATCCAGTGTTGGGATGAAACCCTTCAGCGCTGCAGCCAAGTCGATACTTCCTGCAACCTGCATGAGCAAGCGTAAATACACGGACAAGGATCAGGGGCAATGTACTGCTAAGATTAGAAGGTGTACACACACTTGAACCAAGTGAACATTGACGTTGTTTTAGATCAGCGAACCATATAGGAGAAAACATGATAAACACAAGGAATGCCTCCAGATTCTACATCATGCCTCTCTCTATGCACGGAATTTACACAATTGTATGTGGGATCTGCAAAATGATTTGCACTGCGTAAACTGGTTACTTACATCGAAAATATAGGAGACGGATCGCTGAGGAGTTCCCACGTCAATAGCACTGATCTCGACGAAGATTGGCACATCAAACTGGGGCAACTGTGGTCGCCCATTGACCTTCATGAACAATCGTCCACCCTCGTTGCTTGCAAGAACCTCAACGTCTCTGATGTCGAATGAATCCAGATTCGCAGCAGCCAGTGCGTCCTGCAGACCGTCAGCAGGCAGTCCAGCTGCACCGATCAAACTACTCGCCACATTACGGGCAGAGGAGATCAGCAGACGGAAGTAGAATCGAGTTGCTGTTTTCTTACCGAATTCTACGCTCAGCTCAACCTCGTCAGCAGAGACACCTTCCAAGCCGCTTGAACTAGCCAGACCAGGGGAGAACACTGAGAGTATGTCACTGACGCTAAGGCCATTGACCTGGCCGCTCATGGTAGCAACACCAGTCTCGACGTTGAACGATATGCTGACCTCGACGTTGCTGGCACCTGCCACCAGGGTAGTCTGGGCACTGAGTGATAACACACGAACAGGATTTATGGACACAGTCAGTGAGAGTGTGGTATCCTTCAGGGTGCTGCTACCAGGGAGTAAGGTGCTGGCCAGAGCATCGGGAACTGGAATGGGGATTACGATTTCCCGCTTAGTACGGACGATTTTAGTCACATCGGTGCAGAGAGCCATCAGGTCGAAGTCCGTGGGTAGCTGTAAGCAAGAGGAAAGAGAACAAGGAATAAAAAGGAGCGTAAGTTAGGAAACGTACAATATTCTAAGAAATTCTCCATATATTCATAAGCTGAGAGATTGGAAAGGGGCAACGTTTGAAGAAAAACTTTGACTGTCACAACCAGGAATTCTCCATAAGTACTAGTAACGTTAACAGAATTGATGAAATGCACTCATGATGCTTTCAAATATCAAATACGGAATTGCGCTTCATACAGTCTTCACAGCATAATTCTTTTTTCAGTTGCTATCGTATCCCATTGGAAAAACAACATTCTGCAGTCAGTCCTGGTTGGATTTTCAGAACTCAAGCTTACCTTCAAACTATTGAGATCAAGTCCTTGGACAACCCTATTCACTACTACTTGAAGGTTTGTACAGATAGGGACTTGACGCTTGCTACGTGCTGCACTGACTCCAACTGGGGATGATGAGCGGACGTCCACTGGAGCGCTCAGGGCAAGGCCTGTGGTGAATGTTTCGTCAGCGTCACTCAGAGCGCGGACGAGACGATGTGCATGATCCTGTGCTGAAGCGCTGCCGCTGTCGACGGTTGTGACGTCAACATTATCGTGATTGACGGTAACGTTGTGAATTCCGTTCTGTGCGATGTTACTGAATCGGGACACCAGGTACATTTCGAGACCAGCGGGGAGAAGGTGAAACTGCTCTGCGGACTTT